AAATACACAAGAGAGTGAAAAGACAAGCCTTAGACTGGGAGAAGATGTTGACAATACATTTACCTAACAAAAGACTAGTATTCAAAACATCTTAAAAAAATAAAACAACTAACAAGTCAGCAAGAAAAAGACATGCCATAGAAAGCATATCTAAATGGACCAATAAGAATACACAGAGTGTTCTACATATCATGTGACATCTGGGAAATGCAAATCAGAGCCATTATTATATTTTACTGCATATGCCGCAGAACGCTAAAAATTACAATGCATTGGCAAGGATGTGGATCAACTGGAACTTTGCTATATTGCTATTGGGAGTGGATACTGGAGAACTGCTTGGCAGTATTGATCAAAGCTAAGTATTTGCCTACCTTTGACCCAATAGAGCATTTATTCAAGAGAAACAAGCACATGCATCCACCAAAACACGTGCAAGAATGTTCACAGCAGCTTTATTTATAATAGCCCCAAATTACTCACTGTAATCTTAAACCAGTTCTTTGAGGCCCCGTCGAGGCTGGTGCCAGCCCCTCCCTTCTCTGGAAGAGCTCTATCACTCCGCACGGTGACGTGAATGCGGTCTCGATCATGCCAGCTTTCACCCCGACGGTTGGGTCGTGCACTATAGGGGTTGCTGTGGGCAACGAGAGAATAAAACATCCATGAAGGTTAGGATGTCTTCTCAAAGACCTTCCTGTGCTGTTGTCACTCACGACCATAACTAAGACTGTTCAAACATTAAGCTGGTCCTGACATTTCTCCCTCTTCCAGGTGGGAAGAGAAATGACATGGACAGTAAGAGGGCTACATAAACGAATGAGTCACTACATTCAAACCAGACCAACTGGTTACTTACTATCGCACTCGGGGAGTATCCTGGGCGTCACTCATTGCCACATCTCTGTCATCTTCCTCAAGGCGGGAAGACCGAATGCCAGAACCCCCTCGTCCAGACCTCCGATTCCCCTCGCCATACTTCCACCGGAAAGGGCCCCGGCCTTTCTTTCTTCTTTGCGGGAAAGTAACTCGATCATAGTGCTCTGCGGTTGGAAACAGAACACAGATCAGAAAATACATCATTGGTTCAACTACCCTGCTTGGCAACCACAGTATCCTGCACCCCGAACTATCAGATGAGATACACAATCACTAGAGACGCTGCCTCCATGCAAACTCCCCTGCCTGTCCAGAAACAGAATGCTCTCTGTGAGATGGCAGCATCAGGGAAAAATTATTAGAAAACTGTGTATAAGTCTTTAGAAAAATGAAGCAGAAACTGGAGGTACAGAGAGGAGAAGCAGAATGTGGAAGTATGAGTGTTACAAGTGTAACGGGACACAACTCAGACCCCATAAAATCACCTGAAATCTGCTTTCTCTCAGCCTCCCAAATCTACTCAACCCCACTCAAAATTAGATCATTGACACCCTGGAAAAACCAATCACAATGATTACATCATCTTGCAGTAAACAATACTTCTTTTGCCTGTCCAGTGCAAATGTCAGGGTTTCTTTTAAAAGTTTTGTTCTCTCCTTAAAAAACTAAAAATAGAACTATCATATGATCCACCAATTCCACTCCTGGTTATATATCCAGAGAAAATGAAAATACTAATTTAAAAACTTACATGTATCCCAATGTTCATAGCAATACTACTTACAGCAGAAGATATGGAAGCAACCCAAGTGTCCGTCAACAAATGAATGGATAAAAAAAGATGTGGTATATGTATACAATGGAATACTACTCAGCCATTAAAAAGAATGAAATCTTGACATTTGCAACAACATTAATGGACTTGGAGAACATTACACTCAGTAAAATAAGTCAAAGACAAATACTGTACAATATCACTTGTATGTGGAATCTAAAAAATAAAACAAATGTACCTAACAAAACAGAAATTCACAGATATAGAACACAAACTAGTGATACCAGTAGGGAGTGGGAAGGGGGAAAAGGGCAAGCTAAAGTCATGGGATTAAGAGATACAGACTATTAGTATAAAATAGACAAGCAACAAGGATATATTGTACAGCACAGGGAATGAAACCCACTATTTTGTAATAACTTTTTATGGAGTATAATCTATAAAAATACTGAATCTCTATGCTTACACCTAAAACTAATATATTGTAAACCAACCTTACTTCAACTAAAAAAATAATTTAAAAAAAAGTCTTGTTCTCAAACTGCCACTCTGAAGTGAAGGTGGAAGTGTGAGTGATCCAAGTGTAACCAGACACAACCCTGACCCCCTGAAAGTCACCTGAAATCTGCTTTTTGTCGGCTCCCACAAATCTACTTAACTCTGAGGTGACCTGCCTCATATCTCGGGAAACCAATCACAATGATTGCATTAACTTTCAGTAAAGAATAATAGCCTTTATACAGTACAAACATTAGTTACAAATATGACCAGTTTAAGGTCTTTTAAAAGTCTTGTTCTCAAATTGCCACTCTGAAGTTTAGGGAGGGAGCTCTTTGTCTCCTTGGCCAGAAATGCCTTTTAACTCAGGAGGCAACTCCTGAATTCAGGTTCTAGTGGCAGCTAGGGTGCTTCACATGAAGGGTCCTCAAATGCTCTCCAGGAATACGACCCTCTGAATCCTGGCACGTAGGAATGGCTTCTTAAAAAAGATCCATGACTTCCCCAAAAGGTCTGCCTAATGCGTAGTACTCTGCAAACAATGAACCTCAATAAAAAAATGAATAGAAGGCACAGCTAACATTCACTGAGAACTTTCTCCAGTGCCAGGCACTGTGCTCCAGACACTTGACACAAACGATCTTGTTTTAATACACACACACAAACACACATACAGAGACAACCTTAGGAGATAGGAACTGCTTCTACCATCATTAACGGAGTGGAAAATGAGGCCTAAGTGTTTAACTCACTCAAACTTGGCATAGCCAACTCAGGATTGAAACCTTGGCTGTCCTGCTCCTAACCACGACTCTGGATACATCGAGTTGGTGTGCAGATCTAAAATATTAAGCCAAAGCCACGGGGGTGGGGGAGGGGGCAAGACCTGCTTGGACGCGCGGTAGAAAATAGGGCACAGGCAGCCCAAGAGCAGGGAACTGACTCACATTAAAGAGTTGGGCTGCCAAACTGAACTGACAGGCATCAACCACCCACAAAGTTCAAAGGAATCTCGTCACCCTCCCACCGAGCCACCCGCTCCGAGACGCAGATGCTCGCAACGCCACGATTCCGGAGTCAACAACTCGGGCGGTCACCCACCCTCGAGTTCAGCCAGGCCCCCGGGCTGCCTAGCCCCTGGCCCGCGCCGCGCCATCGCCGCTCCCCGCGGACACCGAGCCCCTCGCGGCCTCACGCCCCGGCGCTGCGGCCTAGGCCGGCGCTGCCCAGTCGGGCCCCAGATCGCCCCGCTCCTCGACCCGAGGGCCGACACTGACCGTTGTACGACTTCCCCTCGTCCGCCATGGCACAGCGAGAAGCAGGGGCGGGCTCTGTCGCGGGGCGCGACGCAGGCAAACGTCCGAACCCCTTGACGCCCCGGGCCGAAGTGTTCCTACTTTCAGCTCCACCGCATTTATGGAGCGAGCACGTCGCGCGCAGCCGACGTCCCACGGCGATAGGCGGAGCCGCTGGGCGATGCGCGTGCGCAGTCGACGAACAGACGCGCTAGGGGCGGGGCTTGGTGCAGCACGCCCCGCCCAGGGCCTGAGCTCTGGAAGCCAAGGGTTCCTGCGGGTTCGCCCCGCTACTGCTCTCATCCATCAGCCCTGCTAGGCCAGCACTTTCAGGGATCGTGCTGAAGCAGAGAGCTGGTTGTTGCAGCACAGGGCTCGGAGAGGAACAGGGTAGAGGGGCCACGCGAAGGGCTTCCGAGGAATGGGAGAGTAGGGCCTCGGAGCGCGAGTGACAACTCATAGACTCCTAGGGGGATCCAGCCAAGGGCTTAAGCCTCAGCTCAGCCCTTTGCCACCTGTAGAGATCTATGCCTCGGTCTCCTCGCCTACAAAATAAAACAGAAAACTAGAACCTAACCTCCAAGAGAGCACGAACTTAACAAAAGCATTGCTTTTTTTCCTCCGGCACCTGGCTCAGTACCAAGCCTAGCACGTAGTAGAACTCAACAAATATTTGTGAAATAAATTGATTTCCATTCTATGCATTCCCCCCAAGAAGAGTTGCTAGGTCAAATTAAAGAAACTGAATTTGTCAGACTTTGGCTGTCTTCACAAATCTCCCCACCCACCACTGATATGTTGTGCTAAACCCACATCATGGGTCAACTGGGCAGTGAAGATGCAATCAAGACCATCTGCTGAAAACAGGCCAAGGGAAGAGGAAATATTAAAATGCCAGGGCTAGGAAAGACATGGGCTCTCCCTGACCCCGCAAAGTACTAGGGCCAGACCAGTGTATGGTGATTGTTGTCCCTACAGCTTAAACTTCCTTTGGGGTGTGTGAAACGGGGGAACTCTGTTGACCTCAGAATGATGTGGTTGTGGGTCCTGGTCAGGACTGACAATCATATTAACCCCCCTGGAGGGTAGGTATTCCAGGCAGGTCTTGCCTTCATTCTCCTGTGACTAGCCTGGATTTGAAGAGGGGCTTTGAGGGGACCAAGAGCCTCAGCTGGAGCTGGGAACAAATTCTTCACTTCGTCTTCCACTCCTGGCAGCAGGCAGAGCTCCTGCTACTTCCAGTCCAAGAAAAATTGGGGGCCAACTGGCTGGAGGATGCAGATGAAACAGGTTGGAATACTGCTGGAGATGGTCCTGGAAGTTGCCACCAATTAGGGGCCCACTCTGGGCTCCTGTGCCCCCTTTGGAGGGAAGTTTCCATGCTAACTCAGTGCTTGGTTATCCCCTGCTGGAAGCAGCTGTATCCACAGAGCGCAAAGCCTGGCCCCTCAGAACCATCAGCTCAACCCTTTCAGTTCTGGTACTGGGCACTGGGCTCACTCCATGTGCTGCCTAGGCCCTCCGACGCTCCCACCCAGAAATGACGACATGGATAATGAGGCTGACAGTCTTCTTGTAATTGGGAGAAAACGAGCTGCAGCACATTTGGCAGATCGAGAGTCACACGCACCCAAAGTTGGGGTTGTGCAGGCAGCTGAGGGCTCAAGCCCCTCTGCCTCACATGGTGAAGAGAGGAAGAAGAAAAAGGTCAAATTCTAACCCAGATGGGAAAGTTGGTCCCTGGGGCAGTTTCACTTCCTCTCCTCACTCTCACGAAGGTGGAGAAGGGCATCTCCCCCCTTGCTGCCAAAGTTTCCTTTGGGAGAGGCTAGAATAGGTTTATAAAAATCTCCCAGTGGAGACAACCTCCCCGACGGGCCCCCCAGTTGGCCTCTGCTCCCTTCCAGCCACTTCACAGCAGAGTCCAAATCCAGAACCGTGTGTTTCGTGGGCCTGAGGGTGATGAGGGGAGGACAGGGTGGCCAGAGGCAAGGAGTGGGGGATCAGGGGCAGTGGCCATTCTCAGCAGCTCCAAGGAAACAGGGCCTTTCTCCCAAGCACCCTGCACAGGCTCCGGGCAGCTCTGGCAACTGCCCTCCCAGGAGAGTTCCAAACCCCCACGGAGTGCCTCAGAGTGGAGAGGGCTCAGGCAAGGAAGACCACAAAGATGATGAAGAAGACAATGAGGATGAGGAAGATTTTGACCATGAGCCACCGGTTGGAGGTGACCGACTGGAAGTACTTGAGGATCTCTGAGTGGGCGGCCTCAACATCCAGCTGGGCTCCCAGCACGTTCTCGTCGATCCTGGGGACAAGGCCGGGAGGAGGGGAAACAGAATGACACTGGATTAAAAAGAACGCTGTTGAAGTATATTTACTGACATGGAAAGACAATTACAATATAAAATTGTTTATATATAGTGTGATACCATTTTTCTGTGTATATATATATTTGTGTATAGAAAAAAGCTCTGAAAGGGGAATATAAAAAAGTCTCGGCTCTGGTTTGAAAATCAGCTGTGCAACTTTTTAGCTTAGGGCCCTATGTCAGTCACTTCACCTCAAGTCTCATTTTCCTCAACTGCAAAGGAAGGAAAAATGAGGATAACACAAGCCCTATCTCTCCAGTTGTTGTCAGTCGTAAATGAGTTGTATAAAGTGTCCAGCCCATACTAAGAGGACCGAAAATGTTAGCTGTTATAATTTTTGCTCATCAGTATTTATTTTGTTTTGTCTAATAAACAGTATTGCATTTGTAATAAGGGGGAAAGGTTCACAGACCATTATGGTCAGGATGTCCTGGTTCTGAGTGAGAAAGGAAGAAAAACCTGATGATGTGAACAGAAAGTCAAGGGATAAGAAAAGCCCTGTATTAGGAGAACATGTCTTTCAGGGCACAGAGAAGAACAGCAATCTCTTGAGACACTGCTGTGGAAAATACAGCATTTCCCAGCTAACCTGCATATGCAATCCTAAAAACCAAATATAAAGCCCAGTCTTTGCAAGGAGAGCTGGGAGCAGAGACCTTTGTGAGCTGTAAGGGCAGAAAAGTTGGTGGAGCCTGGTAATCAAGTGGGAAAGTGAGAGGAAAGGCTGGGCCAGTGGCTGCAAGCCCAGGGTCCTGGTAAGGTGGTCATGAGGATGGCGAGCTACTCTCTGTCCAAATACAAGAGCCTGGATATTTATGTCAGAGAGGCTAACCAACGTATCAGGTGTCCTGGCTTCTGGCTATGGTTACATTTCTCAGTGAGGATGCATCTGTCACCTCAAACTCAATTAAAGCTCATTCATATTGGCAACTATGAATGGCTGTGCTTAACAAAAACGGAAAAACAATGCAATCTGGCATATAAAAGATTTTAAATGGAAGCCTGTGAATGAAAACTAATAGAAGGGAACTCTGGTGGTGATAAAGTTAGGAATCGGTGGGATATGCAGAGGAAGCAGCAGGGGAGTTGGAAACTGGAAATGAATGGGGGGAGAAAATAAAGACTTGGGAGGGAGAAGGCTGAGGAAAACAGAGAGGAGGAACGCTTGCAAGGGCAGGACAAAAGGATGTCTTATGCAGAGAAAGAAAAACTACAGAGGGAAGGAATTAAGCAATAAAAAGCTGGAGTGAGTCTGGCTGAACAGAGAGGATGGGTGATAAAGGGATGTGAGAGGCATCGAAAACCAGAGGACTAGGAGGTAAAGGCAGACTGCGAATGAGAAAAAAAGGAGGTTGACTGAAGAAGACAGTGAAGCTTAAGAACTGGAAGGATTATCTGACTGTGACTAGGAGATCTTGAATTTTAGTTCTCTGAGTTTCAGTTTCCCCAAAACTTGCCAGCGACTGAGAGTAATTGGGTCATGTTCAGTGGATACAGAAGCTGCTTTGAAGTAGCTCCATGTGGCCAGATTTAGGAAATCTGATTGTAATAAAGAATAATGATGGTAATGGACTATATGACACGGAATTAAAATTTACTATTATTCTACAGTAATTTTAAAGAGAGAAAGTTCCTTCTTTATAGAAGAATGCCAGCTAATAAATGCAGAAGGGATGAGAGAATTAGACAATTACCACTTTGCCACACACAATCTCTCAAATGATTCTGGCCAGGATCATCATGGGGCTAAGATACTGGACATTCACAAGAACTCAAAGCATCACTCCACAGACAACTCAGTGTGATGCTCACCACCTTGAACAAGTGACCAAACTTGGTATCACCAATAAAGAGATAATCTCATCAAGCACCTACTGATTTGATCATCTACGTAACAGGTTAAAATACTGAACCTAAATTCAATCATAGGGAAAACAGTGGACAAATACAGGACTTTGTACAAGAGGCACTGGCCTCTTCAAGGAAAAAAAAAAGTAAATGCCACAAAGGAACAAAACAAAAGGCAGACTAAAGAGACAAATAGATTAAATGAAATGTGTGACTGCTGCCTGGGTTTTAAATAGAAGAAAAATAGCTGAAAACTTTTTTTTTAAGAACAGTTAGGGAAATTTGAGTATAGACTGAGTATGGGGCTGTGGTGGAGAACCGTTACTTTTCTTAGGAATGATAATGTGTTGTGGAGAAGATCTATTCTAGGCGGATGCCGCTGAAGTATCTGGGGATAAAATGTCATGATGTTTACACTTACTTTGAAATGATTCAGAAAAAAAAGAGAGCGAGCAGATGTGATAAAATGCCAACAGCTGGTCAATCTAGGCGGCAGGAACATCTGTGTTCACTATGCTAACCGCCCAACTTCTCCACAGTTTGAGTTTTTTTTTTTAATTTACAAGTTGGGAGGAAAGGGAAAAATGACTAACACTGGATCAGCAGGTTTTATACGTTAGGAAAAGTAAGAATCACCTGTTGAGCATCTCAAAAATGCCAATTCTTAGGGTTCACATTCAGGGATGCAAGGGTGGGGCCCAGAAAACTACACCTTGAGAACCGCGGACTAAATCACTGGTTTCTAACGAGGGTGCTCAAATCCAGATCCACTGGCATTCATGGGAGGCCAACACAAGAATATCTATGTCTATTTTAAAAACATCATCCTGTCAAAATTTCACTTTCTTGTTCATATTGGTGCCCACAAGGTTTTCTCTCCTTTGTTATTTCCCTTTTATGCTTCCATCTACTGCCAAATTGCTTCTGAGCCATTCAACTGAAACTGCTAGCACCGATCTAATCAACTCCCCCTCCGCCCCCATCTAATTAACATCTGCCGATGTTACACTTAACATCTTAACTCACACCTCTCTCAGGGACACCAAGAAATTACATCTTTCTTCCCCAAATTCCTTTCACTTCAGCTTCTAAGGATGTCTCTTTTTTCTCTCTTCTTCCTAAACCCCCCTCCTCAGTCTCTTGGACAATTCCCTTCACCACATGCACCTGGAGTCCTTGGGGACCTGTCTTGTTCTTTTTTCACTTTACCCACTGTCCCTGGGTGGTTTCATCTACCCTCATGGTCTCACCAAGAAGCTGCTGACTCCCAAGCTCTAATTCTAGCTTAGTCCTCTCCTCTGAGCATCACAGACCTCTTGGCTGGCGCGTGAAGTGTGATGCTCATAATCTCCAGAATAAACCTCATTTCTCTCACCCTGCACCAGTCTGCCTCCTCTTGAGTTCTCTCCCTATCCCCAGATCCAGGAGGACCAGTTCACAGCAGCAATAACAAATGCTTGCTAAACCGATGAGCAAATGAGTACGAACACTGAAAAATACTTACAACACTCTTTCAAGAAGACTAGAATGTGTGTTATATATTTTGTTGTATATATGCTCTAGTTCTAAATATTTAAAACACGTAACTAGAGATTGACACATTGTAAACTGACTATACTTCAATAAAATGTATGTATACACATACAAACACACACACACAAAAACCCCAAATATATTTACAAACCTGTTTCTTTGAATCTATAATAATATTCTGATATTCAAAATACATTGTAGCCTGAGGAGCTACAGTGTTTATGGCCTCACTCAGCAAAGGATTCCCTGGATCTCAGCTGAACCACAAAAGGATCAGTCAATTCCCCTGATTCTAGGACCAAGACAGCTGCATTCACAGCACCTTTATATTGCCCAATGAAATACGTGAGGCTGCTTAACTTGATCAGTGTTGGGAAACCTGGTTTACACAAATGCAGGTGTTCACTCAGTTTCACACGATCAGCCACTAACTAGGTGCCGCAGGGAATAAAGGTGAACCAAGACCGGATGTTGCCTGAAGGCATAAGCCCAAGTGGGCAAGAATGTGTGAACTAGTGGATTCCTCAAAACTCCACCCCTCCTGTTCCCCATTGTCTCCACTAGTGGCCATTCTTCTTACCCAACTGAGAACAATGTAGTCTGAGGAATTGAGCAAGGTTAAAAAAAAAGGTTCTTAGTCTCACACTTGGAGATTCTGATTCCACAGATGTGAGTGGAGTGGACTGCCAAGAATTTTCAGTATTTTTTTAGGAGAAAATACATATGGTTTTAATTCAGCATAGCTGATTTATGATATTCTGTTAGCTTCAGGTGTAAAACACAGTGATTCAAAATTTTTATAGATTACACTCCACTTAGTTATTATAAAATATTCCTGTACAATATATTCCTGTAGCTTATTTATTTTATAATAGTAGTTTTTAGTCTCTTAAAACCCTACTTCTTTCTGGCCTCTCCCCACTTCCATCAGTAACCACTAGTGTGTTCTGTGAGCCTGTTCCTGTTTGGTTATAGTCATTTGTTTTTTTCTTTCCATTTTTTTATTGAGATATTGCTGATTTACAATATTATGTTTCAGATGTACAACATAGTGGTTCACAATTTTTAAATGTTATATTCCATTTATAGTTATTATAAAGTATTGGCCATATTCCTTGTGCTGTACAATATATCCTTGTAGCTTATTTTATACATAGTAGTCTGTATCTCTTAATCCCCTACCCCTGTCTTATCCCTCCCCCTTCATTCTCCCCACTGATAACCACTAGCTTGTATTTGAGTCTGTTTCTTTTTTTTGTTATATTCACTAGTTTGTCTTACTTTTTAGATTCTATATATAAGTGATATCATGCAGTATTTGTCCTTCTCTGGCTGACTTATTTCACTAAGCATAATATCCTCCAAGTCTATTCATATTGTTGCAAATAGCAAGATTTCATTCTTTTTTATGGCTGAGTAGTATTCCATTGTGCATATTGTCTGTGTGTGTGTGTATATACATATATATATACACCAAGTCTTCCTTATCCATTCATCTGTTGAGGGACACTTAGGTTGCTTCTATATCTTAGCTAGTCGGAGTAATACTGCTAGG